AAAAGTCATAATTCATACATTAAAAGGTCTTAAATTGGGTATGAAGTCTTAAATTCATACACTGCAAAAAGGATTTTCTTACTTAGTATTTTGGTCTTGTTTTATATAGTATAAATGTCTAAATATTCTTGAATCAAGATGCATTTACTTGAGAAGCAAAATGACAAGATATTGTGTCTTGTTTTCTGAAAAAGTAAATGTATCATGATTTCAGAATGTTTTGATGTTTGCAATGGAAAACAAGACTTGTTTGCAGTGTAGTCATGGATTTTCTTACTCAGTATTTTTGACTTGTTTTCCAGTATAAATATCTAAGCATCCTTTAATCAAGATAGATGCAAAATGAAGTCATGTTTTCTGAATAATTGAACACAACTAATGGAGTTTATGCTTAAAAGATGAAAACAATCTGTCAGTGGGGTTTGAAAAACTTTGCTATGAATTAGGTACAATTTTCTGAACCCGTTAGCAGATATTTTGTTCTTATTTAATCATAAACTCACTTAATCTTTGATCCATTTCTCAGAAAACAAGACTTCTTATGTCTTCATTTAAGAATCTTTAGACATTTGCGTCGAAAAACAAGATGAAGAACATCACTTGTTTGCATCGTGAACAGATTCCCCCCATATTCTAGTGGTTGGGAGCCGAGCTATTCAAGTTAAAAACTACAGTATTTTATTACATTTTTTTGTAAAAAGAATTAAAAAGTAATGCAGATCTGTTGGAAGTTGTATTTTCAAACTTTAAAGTGTTACTAATATGACTCATTGTCTACTCTCTATGCATTTACATTTTGAGAACATATTGTGTTCCCCTCAGTTTATTCCTTAAAAAGGTCTTAAACAAGTACCTTGATGAAACCTTCAGAAACCCTGTTATGTCTGTCTCTTTCAGGCAGTTCTGCGGGCGACGCGAGCGCTCCTCGTGGCCGCCATGTGTCCATCAGAGAACGAGCAGCGAGCGTCTGGTGGAGGCCAGCCGGAGGAAAGTGCTGGTGGAGGCGCGTTTAGAGAACCGGGGAGAAAATGCGTACGGCACGATCCTACACATCACGCATTCTCCAAACCTCCAGTTCTCCAGTCTGGTGCTGAAGGTTTGTTTTCTGGAAAAACACCCTGATCTGAGTCTCAGCCCAGGTCTAACCTGTATTTATGAGGGTTTAGAGCATTAAAGAAGGAATTCAAACGTGAGGTGGAAGGGGTCGCTGATAAAGAGGCCAAGAGTGGAAGGGAAACTATGAGTCAGTGTGTGTGGATCTGGTCCAAAGCCTAGTGAACTACCTCAGTGACTTCATAGGCAGCATCCTAATCTCATTGATAAGTGACTGAGCAACACATATATGAACCTGGAGCACAAAAGCAGTGTTAAGTCGCTGGGGGATATTTTTTGCAATAGCCAAAAACAAACATTGTATGGGTCAAAATTATCGATTTTTCTTTTATGCCAAAGATCATTAGGATATTAAGTAAAGATCATGTTCCATGAAGATATTTAGTAAATGTCCTACTGTAAATATATCAAAACTTAATTTTTGATTAGTAATATGCATTGCTAAGAACTTAATTTGGACAACTTTAAAGGCGATTTCCTCAATATTTTGATTTTTTTGCACCCTCAGATTCCAGATTTTCAAATAGTTGTATCTCGACCAAATATTGTCCTAAATAAACTCCGTAATCACAAACTAATAGGTGCTCATAACACAAAACACTGACCATTTAAATTCCTAAACATTTAAGGGTAATTATGAATGAAATATGTCTTCATCCATTCAGTGATTTACTCCATAATGTCTTTGTAATGATCTTCATTTGTGGGCTTTTCTCCGCAGAAATGCATTGGTCTGAAATCGAAAATGTGCTTGTTTTTCAGGCACCTTCAGACATTGCAATCGAGTGTCCAAACTCTGATGATATGAGCCTCTACCGAACCTGCAACATCAGCGTGCCGTTCATGAGGTCCTTTGCTCAGGTGAGACGCCTCAGACCTGCAACAACTGACTAGTCTGAATATTACTGATCATTCAAGTGGTGGTTTAGTGAAGGTATCAGATGGCAATGTTATATACTGTGCTATTCAATTACAATATGCATATGGCATGATATTTATAAGATAAATCCCCAAAAACATGGTATTGCCACTGATGCCGTTTTATTTCCATTGTAGCATTTCCAAAGACGTGCATGGGTTCATTTGGGTACTTTTTAGTTCGTGAAGATGCGGTCAAAAAAATGCTGCTGCCTGATTGCTTGGAAAAATACATGTCACATGTTCCAGTTTTAGAGAATGTTGGAGTCGATCTGTGACAAAACAGAAGCCAGAGGTTGTTAAAAAGATGTCCGTAATCCTCCTGACATCGACTGAAGCCACAGAACGGAAAAACTCATCATGCAAAATCCCTTAATTCTCTTCATATGCAAAGTTTCTGATTCTCGTGCACCATGCGTGTTCGATCAGTCTGTCTCTCAGTGGGATTGTTCCTCAGAGAGTTTACAGGTACATTCTGTGATGAGTTGGTGTTTCTGTGTGGTTTCCTGTGCTCTCGCTGGGCTGGCGTCGCTCCAGACTCTTCCTTTGACTACTTGCATTCCACTCACTTCACAATTCATTGCACCTTCTGTTCAGATCCGGTACAAAGCAGCAATTGCAATTAATCACAGTACCGCCAATTAGACGACAGTACATCCTTTAGTTGCGTTTTGTGTTTCGTTTGGCTTCACATTTTGTTTTATTCATCCAGGTGTTTTTCCGACTGGAGTTTGAGTTCAGCAGATCTGTCTTCTTGAACTACGTCCAGATCACTCTGAGGGTCTCCAGGTGAGGTCGTGACCTTTGAACCGATGAGAATCTCTTCTAAAGAATTTTTTTTTATTATTGATGTATAAAATGAATGTAGATTAAATTATTATTCTTTTGAAAAAAATGATGTTGGTTTAAGAAAGCTACAGATTTATTTTTAGATTAATCTGTCTGTTTCATTGCAGTGAAGGTCAAGAAATGTCTCCAGAGGACAACATCAATGACATATATCATAATCTGAAATATGAAGCTGATATTCTCTTCACAAGGTAACACAGTAGCGTGAAACTCACAAAGAAATGTCCAAAAGTCAAGCGTATATTATATTATATTATATTATATTTTCACATATATTTTTTATATATTAATTACATAAATATTTGGTTATTTTTCTAGAAATTAATTTCAAGCATTAATTATTTTCCACTGTATTTATTATAGGGTCTATACATATATGCACGCCATAAATTATAAACTTTTTAAATACTTATATATTGTTTTTAATTAATTATATACATTTTTATATAAACTTTTATATATTAATTCCATAAATATTTGGTTATTTTTCTGGATAATTATTTCAAGAATTAATTATTTTCCCCTATATTTATTATAGTGTGCATATACGCACTATACACATTTTTAATACTTACTAATACTTAATATATTAATTTATTTCATTTACATAATTGTTTATATATTCTATAAACTTCTGGTTATTTTTCTGGAAACTAATTTCAAAAATTAATTTTCACTATGTGTATCTACACATTCTATAAATTATTAACATTTATTATAAAAGCAATAATCCCCGTGAAGCCGTGGTTTGCAGTGAATTTATAACAGATAAGGGGCGTTCGCATCGTGCCTAAAACTCCCTTAGCTGTTATAAATTCACTGTAAACCACGGCTTCATGGGGATTATTGCTTTTATAAAACGGTTATTCCATATACGTAGTAAGGTTACACAA